TAGAAAGTAGATTTTCTTATTCCCCATTTCCCAGATGAGGAACTGAGATTCAGGGATATAAGTGACTTACTCATGGTCATACCGCTATAGGGGTGGCGGAGCCAGGATTCAGGCCCAGTCTGTCTGATTCCAGAGCCCATCCACTTTCCCCCTACCCCCTGCTCTGTGAGGCACCGCAAAAAATGAACCACAGAGAGAAGGTGATCCCGGCCTGGGGGAGCTCCTAGTGTGTCTCATGGAATCCCACAGAAGGTGTCCAAGTGGTGCCCGCTGAAGGGAGGTCAACTGTATTTCCAAGAAAGGAGAAGGAGCTGCTCCAGCTTCTAATAACCAAACAATTCCTCCTTCCCCATCCCCCCAAAACATGCCCTACACTCCGAATTCCACCAGCCCCTTGCGGCCCTTCATGGTTCCTCCATCCATGGGCTGCCATGCGGGGACTCTGCTAGTGAACGGGGAAGAAACTGTCCTGCCACCCCACCCTTGGCTTCCCCATGACCTACCCCAAGGTGGTGGCATTAGGCCCCTGCTGAATACCTAATGAATTCAAACACTATGGTGCATTTTATTATATTTGAAATAGACCTTGGGGTGCCTGGGTGGCTCAGTCGGTTAAATGTCTGACTCTTGATTTTGGCTAAGATGATGATCTCAGGGTCACGGGTCTGGCCCCACGTCGGGCTCTGCGCTGAGTGTGGAGTCTGCTGGTCCCTCTCCTTCTGTTCCCGCCCTCATTGGTTCTCTCTTGCTCTCTCTCAAATAAATAAATAAATCTTAAAAAAAATAAAATAAAATAGGCCTTAAAAAACCCAAGGTGCGACTTCAGAAAAAAAAATACCGAGTGAGTTTTTCTAGAGCTGAGTACCCCCTTAACAAGGTTGATGCAGCAATATCACAGTGAGAAAGACACCACAGTACCAAAGAAAGGCTTTATTGTTAGATGCTTTCATCAACTTTCTTTCCCCCACTTCCCCACCGTCCCCATGCCACCTGGTAACCAAGGCAGAAAGTCAAACACTTTTTAAGAGAGAAGAGAAACCCAGGCCCCATGTAATGCAAGGTCTCAGAGCGAGAAGGGTTTAGGTTTGACAGGAGGAAGAAGGTCCTGACAGGGAAAGTGGCCTCACTCTAGAGCGGGGTGGTCAGGCATCAAAGGGGTCCCCAGACTCCCTGCCTCTGCTTGGCACGCCTTCAGGCCCCAGCGTGGTGCACTCTGCCCAGGCATGGAAACCGCCTGTGACTCAGGGAATCTTAAGTGGCAGTTGCTAGGTTACAAGTTTCCTCAATGTGCACTTCAGTGTAAGGATTCAAGGATGTCACCTGGCTGAGAGGAAGAGCCATGGGGGAAGGAGAGAAGCCAGTACTTCCGAACAAGCAATTAGACCATGGCCTGAAAGGCATCCGGTTCTTCGTACTTTTCCAAGGGTCTGAGTCCCTAGATCTCGTGGTCCTCACAGAGGGTAGTGCTTGCAAAAGAGAAGTGTTAGGCTAGAATGGGGCCTCTTCTGGAGCTGGATTCCAGTCCTTCCCCAGCGATGCTGCCCAGCACACAGTCTGGCAATGGGGAGAGAGCAGTCGCTGGAACCCTTTTGGGGGCCTGGGCTCCTTCCTTCACTGTAACTGGACAAAAAGCCGGAAGCCAGGTGTGAGTGGAAAAGCTTGGTGTCCTTAATAATACACAATCTTTTGTTTGTGATTTAACTGTTAAAGTGGGAGAGTGTTGGATTTGGAATTCACAAACCAGACCCGCCCTGGTCCCGGCCCTCGAGTGGCCATAAGTCCATTACTTTATCTCAGGAAGGCTCAGATTCCCCATCTGTGAAAGTGCAGACTGATACCTGCCCGGGGCCACCTTTCCCAGGGTTGTTTCAAAGATTGTGAGAAAATGGATGCGTGAGGGCTTACGTTAGCTGGATGAGTTTTGCAAAGACAAAGTAGTATGGAACTCTGCTGCCCCGGCTGGGGTGGGTGGGGGCACAAGGAGCCTTGCCTCACTGCTCTGGGAAAAGGCTCAGTAGGCAAGGGGTGCCTGGGGGGCACAGTGGTTAAGCGTCTGACTCTTGATTTCTGCTCAGGTCATGATCTTGATTCAGATCATGGTGTCGGCTTAGGTCATGATCTCAGAGTTGTGAGATGGAGTCCCAACTCAGGCTCCACGCTCAGTGGGGAGTCAGCTGGAGTTTCTCTTTCCCTCCCCCTGCTCCCGCTCTCTCCCCACCCCTCTTTAAAATAAATAAATACATTTTTTTTGTTTTGTTTTGTTTTTTGTTTTGTTTTTTAAAGGCTCAGTGGGCAAAAGAGACTGAAGACCCACCCCAACAAGCCCCTTTGAGGAAGGCCTATGGCTTTCAGTCTTCCTGATCACCCTGTACTGGTTTTGTGAAGACAGCTCCAGTTGAGGGTTGAGTCTATTCCCTAGTCCCCGGGGGGAGATTGTGATCCCTAGGACAGAAGAGAAATGTTTGGTGTTTCCTGTAAAACATCATTAATTCAGACCACATTCTCTTGGAATTTATGAGTTCTTACTGAAGAGAGAAAACAGAACACAACCTTCCTCTGATGGTTCTAGAGGTGCTTACTTTGTAAGTACAGAGAATTCAAACTAAAAGAAACAGTGGAATTTCTAAGCCAAGAACTCAAGATATTAAGATGGGTCTATTGTGAGTCGTGACTTCTGTTTCTCACAGGAAGTCATTTCTGAGCAAGGGGCAAAATGTCTGTTTGTTCTCAGTTTCCCTTTCGCCACATGTTGGTGACAATAGTTGGTAGTAATGGTATTAATAGCGATTTACCAGGCCCTTGCTCTGTGTCGGAAACGGAATTGAGCCTTTTACAAACAGTATTTCGTTTAATCTTCACAAAAATCTACAAGGATCCATCCATACCACGGAATACTATGGGTACTTCTATCAGAAATAAAAAGGAATGAACTATCGACACACATACGACAACCTGGCTGAATCTCCACGGAATTATGCCAAGAGGGGTGTGGGTAGTCAATCCCAAAAGGTTACACACTATACCATTCTATTTATATAACATTCTTGAAATGACAAAATTATGGAAATGGAGACTAGATTAGTAGTCGCCAGGGGCTGGAGAGAAAGGGGTGGGAGCGAAGTAGGTGTGGGTATAAAAGGCAACAGGAAGAATCCTAGTGGTGGAAATGTTCTATACCTTTACTGATCACTTTCCATAGCGTGGTTGTGCTATTATTGTACTAAAAGTTTTGCAAGATGTTACCATCGAGGGAAACTGGGTAAAGGGTGTTATTTCCTACTATTGCATGTAAATCTCCAACTTATCTCCAAATAAAAAGATAAATTAAAATAATATAAGGAAATTGGGTCTCAGAGTAGTTAAATAATTTCAGAGCCAGAATTCAAACCCAGATCTATCAGACTCTCAAGCCTGAGTGTTTCAAGACTTGACTGTTTTCAAGGGAACCAAGAAGAAGGGGGACTCCACAGGCCTTGCGGTCCTTCAGGCCAGGTGGCCCACCGGTGTCATGTCCCCTTTGTTAAAAGGGGACCGCTATCCTGAAAAGGCTATGAGAATGTGGCTTGAGAAAACTATTTGGCAAGCCCCGTGGTTTGGTGTTGAGGGCCAACATTGAATAACCAGGTTTCCGCATCTCAAGGTGTGTGAAGAAGGGACTGAAGTGGGGGGGGGTCCCCCCTGTGTTCGTCTGTCTACATTGGTGTCCACATGTCTGTGCGTTTGTCAGTTACTCCGTTTCCGGGTGGGAGAGGGTAGGGTGATGTGTAAGTCATGCAGAGGTGTGCAGGTCAGCGGACACGCTATGTTTGGGTGCACGTGTGTCAGGTCTGCGCGTGTCACACCCACGGAACTTGTTTCTATTAGGTTAAACCATTTGATCATACCTCCCCCAAAGCAAAGCTATTGAGCCAGCCTGTCACGAACTGGGTCTGTGTACTGTAGATAAACTGGGTAATTGGACTCTCCGCCTCCTCATCCAAAACAAACACTCACAAACCGCCCACCCCCACTTTGGAGGGAGTCTGGTCCCTGTCATCTGGGTTCCTGGCTCCAGGGCCCCGCCTCCTCTGACCCTGTAGACAAGGTGAGCGGCTCCCGCGGGGCCCTTTCCCTCCCCCGCGGGCGGGCGCTGCCAGCGCTTATGTAAAGAGGTCACGGCCTGCTCCGCCGCGGGGCGCACGCGGCCTCCTGCACAGGTGTGGCGGCTGCGGGTGGGGAGGTGAGCGGAGCAGCCGGGCCGGCCTCCTCCCCGCGGGCGGCTCCGCTTCCCCTTCGCGCTGCTCGTCCCCTCTCCTCGCCTGCATGTGTGACGGCTGCGTGCGGGCTGGGGAAGGACAGCGCGCCCTCTCCCCGGCTCCCCGCCGCCCCGGCGGGGGTGGGGGGCTCCCCGCTCCCGGCTGATGCGCGGTCTGCGCCTGGCCACCGCGCTCCTCGGGCCTGGCTGTGTAAGTGGCGCGGGGGCGGCGGCGGGAGGGCGCGGGCAGGGGGGCGGCGGAGGCCGGAGGTGTTAACTCCTCGCTCCGCCGGGAGGCCCCCGCCCCGCGCGCGGTCCGCGGGCTTCGGAGCCGCCAGCCCGGAGGGGCGGGAGGGGCGGGGGTGGGGGGAGACACATTGCTGCGGGGCGCGATGCCGCCGCGGGGTGGCGCCCTCGGCCGCCGCGCCTTTCCTTTAAAGTTGGCAAGACCTGGGAGCCGGGAGCCCGGCCGGCCGGCCGCGCGAGGAGGCGAGGGCGCCGAGCCGCGACCGCCCTTGATTCACCCCATCCCTCCCGCAGGGCCAGGCGCGGACGCCGCCGGACCGTGCAGTCTGGAGGGACTGTGAAGCGCTGGCCGGCGTCGGGGCCCTTGCCCGGGGTCGGGCGGGAGCCGGCGGACGGGAGCCAGATGGAGGCGGCGAGAGGGGGCACCGCGTAGCGGGCGGCTCCCCGGGCTCGCACCTCCCGCGGCGCCCTGGCGCTCCGCGGGCACGGGGGTGCGGCGGGCGGGGCCCCCGGGGCTGCCATGGAGGTGCGTAACGTCAAGGACTTCCAGTGGAAGCGCCTGGCGCCGCTGCCCAGCCGCCGGGTCTACTGCTCCCTGCTGGAGAGCGGGGGGCAGGTCTATGCCATCGGGGGATGTGACGACAACGGCATCCCCATGGACTGCTTTGAGGTCTACTCCCCCGAGGCCGACCAGTGGACCGCCCTGCCCCCCCTGCCCACAGCCCGGGCCGGGGTGGCCGCCATCGCCCTGGGGAAGCGGATCATGGTGATCGGGGGTGTGGGCGCCAGTCAGCTGCCCCTGAAGGTCGTGGAGATGTACAATATCGATGAGGGCAAGTGGAAGAAGAGGAGCGTGCTGCGCGAGGCCGCCATGGGCATTTCTGTCACGGCCAAAGGCGAGTGGGGCCAGGGCTGAGGGAGGGCAGAGAGAGGGGAGTGGGGGTTCACGGGGAGAGGGATGGAAACCAACACTGAATGGGGGGTCCACTCTCACAGGCCTGATCCCATTTGATCCCTACAATAGACACTGAAACTGAAGACCCACTGGCCTTATTTTACAGATGGGAAAACAGACACAGCAGGTGAGGTGTCTAGTAATTCCATATGATACCAGAACTCCACTCCCCCAGTCTCCTCCCAGCAAGCTGGGCGGGCCTGGCCGGAGGGGAGAGCTGAAGGTTTAGTGCCATGTCTCTGCAGACCCCTTCATTCAGCAGAATGACGAAGCCTCCCACCCACAACACCTCATCCCCTGACATCTGCCTTTTAGGTACCACCACCTCTAGACACATATTTGGGGTCCTGGGGACATTCCCTGCCTCCTTGTACCATCCCCAGGCCCCACTGATGGGGCTTTGAGGCCTGACTCCAGGGCCTTTCCTGCCACCCTCAACCTCCCCCTCTGCCTCCTAATCTCAGAGATGTTAAGGAATGGAGACTAGAAAGTTCCTGAGGGTGGTGCTCCTGCAGCACCTTGCCCAGGTTTACAGGTCTCGGGGCGAGCATGTGCTGACCACACAGTTATTTGATCTTCAGTTCACTTTCTCAAAGCCCCTTATTTCTTTCTCGCTGGGCCTGGTACAGCCCAGAGCACAGAGGGGGCTCCAAAAGCTCTTTTGCTGAAACACGAAGGGTTTTATGGGAAATGGTCCAACAGGAACTAGAAGATCCCAAGTGCAGCTCAGACAGCCCTGGTGGGATACAACCCTCCCTCCATCTCTGGCAAAACCATCCCATTTACCTGTTGGGTCTACTGTAGATCAGGAACCAGTATTTCTTGAGCACCTGCTGTGTCCTTGCAGTTCTAGGTCCCAGGGAGGAAGGAGAGAGGCAGAAGACCTGGCCTCTACTTTTAGAAGTCTGGGTCTGACCAATGAAGGCGACCAGTGAGAAACTCTAACCCAGAATCCCTCAGGGCAGTGGCCAGTGGGGCTTCCACGAACTCTGGGTAGGAAGGACAGGAGACCCGGAGGCCTGTGGGGGGGAAAAAGAGAGGGAAAGGGTATTCATTGGTCTCTAGGCCTCAATAAATGTTGCTGGGAGATTAAGAACTAACACTTATTGAGTCCTTACTATAGGTGCTTTATATATTTTAGCCCCTCTGATCTTCACAACCTGTGTGATGAGGTAAGTGCTATCCTCATTTTAGAGGGACGCCATGTGGGGCCCGAAGAGGTTAAATACCTTGCCCAAGGTCACACAGCTAGTGAGAGATGATGGAGTCTGTGCTCTTCACTGGGGCGCTGAATGAATGGGTTCAGCAGTTAGTCTGATAAGCTTTCATAGCCTTGTGTGTCAGGCACTGAAGCAGATGCTGGGGCCACAGACAAACTCTCTAACCATCTAGTGGAAGAAAGAGACAAGGATTATTCTGGTAACAAATGGCGAATAGGGTGAAGCCAGTGCCATGGGAGGCACTGAGCTGGTGCTCCCACCCAGCTTTGCAGTTGGGGGACACCCAGGCGACCGTGAAGGGATGAGTAGGAGCTGGCCCAGGAGTCGTGGTGTGGCGTGGACCGAGGGTTCTCAGCTGGAGGTGTGTCTCGGGTGACACAGGGATGGGAGAGGCAGAGTTCGTGTAAGGGAAATCCTCCCAGGATTAGCGGGCCCAATCTCCTGACCTGAGGCTATGGTTGGGATTTTTTTGTTCCTTTTTCACTAAGACTAAGGGTGGTACTCAATAGGAGGAAATAGTACTCATCCCTATAATTCCCTTGAAGAATAAAAGCCTCTTAGAGCCAGAAGCGGTGAAGACTGGCTACTGGGAGATGGAATCCCAGGCAGGGGTGGGTCCCTGGGAAGGAGAGTGGCTTGTGGGGTGGGGGAGTAAGGGAAGCTGTGTCTCTGGTGGTAGGCTGCAGGAGGTACTGGGGCGAGGCCCCGGGAAACACGGATGCCTTGCTCACCCTCTCTGCTGCAGTGTCTCAAGGAGGTGCCTTCAGCCTAGAGCTGAAGGCTACCTGCAGCCAAGAGCAACAGGAAATGAGAGAGGATTCGCTTCTCCTCTCAGAATGCCCAGCTTACGGCCCTGGCGGGGTTCCTTAAAGGGGCTAGTCTTCTGTCCTTCAAAACCTCATCCTCATTCACCCCTAACCCTATCCCATCTAGTGCAGGATGCCTTCTGGAGCCCACAAGCCTCCCAATGTGTGAAGGGGGATGGCATTCACCCCCATGGGGCTGGCAAACAGAAAACCAGCAGCAGGCCAGTGTCCCACAAGGCCAACGACAGCAGGGCTGACCTCATTTCCAAAGGCTCCTGCTGGGTCTGGAGAGTTCTGATCTAGGAGTGCCTAAGCAACAGTCCACTACTGGAGGGCATCGGAGGAATACCCCCTCCTCTTTGGCATCCCCTCTAGCTGCCTACGCGGGAGGAACGTGGAGAGGTCAAGACCTGCCAAAGGTTGTCCGGGCCTCCGCCCCAGTCTACCCCGTGCGCGGCTCAGCCAAGGGCTGGACACCAGGGAAGACTAAGGCATGCAGGCCTGACATGGCTTCAGGAAGACCCAGGCTCAACCCGGCAAGGACTTGTCGTGGTTCCATTAACCTCACTCTAGCACAGCAGTGGTTGGGAACCTGGCCTGGACTTGGTGCCGGTGTTCGAGGGGTTAATGGAGCCCGGCCTGGTAGGTACTGATGGGCCTGTCTCATGGTGTTCACGAGCTGAGCCAGGGGGTGTGTGTGGCCTTTCTCCTTAGATTACCGAGTGTACGCGGCAGGCGGGATGGGCCTAGACCTCCGTCCGCACAACCACCTCCAACACTATGACATGCTCAAGGATATGTGGGTGTCACTAGCACCCATGCCCACCCCGAGATATGCTGCCACCTCCTTCCTCCAAGGCTCCAAGATCTATGTGCTGGGTAAGGACAAGTTATCGGTCCCACATCTATCTCTCCTTCCCTCCCCGGGGCCCGTTCCCACAGGAAGCAGTGTCTGAGTGTGCTGGGCATCTCCTCGGTACTAGGGGGTAACCATGATGCCCCACCCCTCAGGGAGCCCCCTGTATGGTTGGGTAATAGTCAGAAGGGGAAATCCAGCCCCTTGCCTTCAGGTACTTACATGGCCCCCCCCCCCTCCTCCACCCCTCCAACCCCATCCTGGCTCCTAGGGGGACGACAGTCCAAGTATGCAATCAATGCCTTTGAGGTCTTTGACATCGAGACTCGCTCCTGGACCAAGTTCCCCAACATTCCCTGCAAGCGGGCCTTCTCCAGCTTTGTGACCCTGGATGACCGCCTCTACAGCCTGGGGGGCCTGAGGCAGGGTCGGCTCTACCGGCAGCCCAAGTTCCTCCGGACCATGGACGTGTTCGACATGGAACAGGGTGAGCAGGGCACCGGCTTCTAGCTGCCCACCACCCCTCTGGCTGACTCCCCCCACCCCCACTTTCTCCCCAATCCCATCCACCCTCCCAGGGCTGCTGACCCAGTGGCATGAGCCTTTCAGAGGTCTGGATAGCCCTCACCATTCCGGGCTACTGTTGGGCTCGCTTTCTTCCATCTGGACAGGGCTTCTCTCGGCTGGCTGGTTACTTGTCTCCAAGCCTTTCCCGTCTATTTTCTTGTCTTACAACAAACATCCTGGCAGGGCCAGGGGAGGGAGGGCTTTTCCTGCTTTTTACCGATGCAGACACAGAAGGATCCTGACCGCCCCCATGCCTGCTGCCTCTAGTTAGCCTTCTCTCCAGCTCAGAGCCCACGAGAACGGAGGTAGAACGAGGTGATTTGTTGCAGGGGGTTACGGTTCCTTGGACTATAGCAAGCCTGGGAGCGGGGAGAGGGGAGAGGCCACAGAGCTGTCATTTCAAACAGCAGGAGGCGTAGTTTATGCCCTGAGCACGAAGGGTGGATGGAATGGACTTCTGTCTCAGGTGTGAGCTCAGGGGACTCAGTGTGTATTTAGTGGGGGAGGTCAGCATCTAATTCTCTCTAAATTTATCTTGCCACGATCCGTGGCCCGTAGGGGGCTGGCTGAAGATGGAACGCTCGTTCTTCCTCAAGAAGAGGCGGGCAGACTTTGTGGCCGGCTCTCTGAGCGGACGGGTCATAGTCGCTGGAGGACTCGGTGAGGATGGCGCTTCCAGGCTGTTACTGCGGGTCGGGAGGGAGCTTGGTGGACACTTGGCGGTCTGCATGAGCAGGAGAAGGTCCTGGCTGCTTGCATAATGCCTACCTACCCCTTTATCCCAAATAATTCAAAACACTCCCTCCCATGTATCCACAAACGGGCCCCCATGTGCTCTTTCCGTCCTCATACACAGGGAAAACTGAGGCCAAGAGAGCATGCAGGACATTCTGCTCACCATGGAATGCAGGCTTGCTGAGCACAGCTCCCTGGGGCCCTATCCAGGAACACTGGAGACAAAAATGTAGCAGGGATTAGCCTAGTCCTCTTTCTCTGGCCAGCTCTACTCCCTGGATACCCAGCTCCATCTTGGAACAGGAAAGCCATCTGATTAGACAGATTTTTGTAATGGATTCAGGATTTGCTGGGTTCCTCCTGGCAGAGAGTAGTGGTGTTTTGAAGGCAGGACCCCAGCTTCAACAGGGCAGAGATACATGGGCAGCAGGGCTTCTAGGCGCCCAGAGTTCACTCAGTGTGGACAGACTCCCACTTCACCCGAGTATGAAAGGCGCTCAATGTGAGCCAGACCTTGGGGACAGCTTTTGAGTAAAAGGCAAAAGAGAGGCAGCAGCAGTATCTAGAAACTTCTGGTAAAAGCAGAGGGTGGAGGAGAGGAAAAGAGGGAGAGAAGGCAAGCGGGGCAAAGTGGCTGTTTGACAAGAGCCAAGGCCCAGGGTAGGGAGGGAGCCGTTCTGCACCCCTGGGACTAAAGTCCCTTGGCTTCCGCTTGTGGGTTCCAGAGGGAGCCAGGGAGGTGGCCGCACTGTGGGGCATGGATCAGTGGCTGGGCTCCTTTGTAAGGTCCGGTTCCCTTGGCACTTTCAGGGAACCAACCCACGGTCCTGGAGACGGCAGAGGCGTTCCACCCGGGGAAGAACAAGTGGGAGGTCCTCCCCACCATGCCCACACCTCGCTGTGCCTGCTCCAGCGTTGTCATCAAGAACTGCCTCCTGGCTGTGGGGGGCGTCAACCAGGGTCTGAGCAATGCGGTGGAAGCGCTGTGTGTCTCCGACTGCTAGCTGTCCCTGGGCCCAGCACCTTTGCCCCGGACCAGATCGCTCCACTCTTGGGCAGTTTGGGTGACTTCCCAGGTTGCTAGGTCCTGTCAGCAGCTAGTGGGGTCAGGCCCTGGGGCTCTGAGGGACCTCCCTCCACCTCCAAACCGTACCAATCCCAGGAAACCGTAAGAAGACGCGCTGACTCCGCCAGCCTCCAGCTGGAGCCCAGCAGAGCTCTGAGGAGACTCCTCCCTTAGTGCTCAGGCAGAGGAAGGCGCAGGAGTACCTGCTACCTCCCCTTCCGGCGAGCTCCGCACCGGCCTCCGGGGTAGGAGGTGGGTAGGGCAGAAGACAACGGCTACCATTATGAAGATGGGGAGGATTGGGATGGAAAATGGCGAAGGGCTGCAAGGAGTCCCAAAGCCCTCTTCTCTCCCGTGGTCCCCATCCCCCCCCCATTTGGCGGTCAACCGCGGGCCTGCCCTAGCCCTCATGTGCTCCGCGAGAACTGGCCTTGGAACAGGGGCCGCCGGGTTGGAAGGGAAGTCAGGTTCAAACGGACCGGTCCAGGTTCGGCTTCCCCGCTCCTCTCCTCACTCACTTTGTCCTTCTGCCACCCCTCCCTGGCCCTTTTGTCCCCGGCGGCCCCGGAGAGTTTCTGTGCAAAACCTCACGTACACTGTGGCACCAAAGTCCGCAAAGGCTGGGTTCGCGGAACTCGGGTTAACAGGGGCAGCACAACGATTAAAATCTATATTCCTATCCTCTCGGGCAGCTGGTGCGGGGGCGGGGTGGACGGGTGTCTGGGTGGGTAGAGGGTACACCAGGAAATGGTCCCTCTGACAGCCTCAGACTAAACAGGGCCCCAGGCGACCGGCTGTCCTTGGCCGTTCCCACTGAGGAGGCTCCGTCTCCAAACCACCCCCCGCCGTGTCACCTCGCTCCCAGTACAGCCGCATCTCCGCCTTCTCTTCAGCGTGGAGACTCCGCTTCCGGGGCAGGAGAGGGTGTGCTCGTTAGCTGACATCTCCACGTCTGGCCTCAGTTCACTCGGCTCAAGTTCACTCCTGTCTTACCCCAAGTTGAAAGGGGATTGCTCATGGACTTAAAGACTTGAAGCTTGTAGAGCACCTCTTTCTTCTTCTTCTTCTTCGTCTTCGTCTCCGTCTCCTTCTCTTCTCCTTCTCCTCCTTCTCCTCCTTCTTCTTTCTTCTCCTTCTTTCTTCTTCTCCTTCTTCTTTTTTCTTCTTCTCCTTCTTTCTTCTTCTTCTCCCTTCTCCTTCTTCCTTCTTCTTTCTTTCTTTCTTCTTCTTCCTTCTTCTTCTTTCTTCTTCTTCCTCTTTCTTCTTCTTTCTTCTTCTTCTTCCTCTTTGTTCCTCTTTCTCTTCCTCCTCTTCCCCTCCTTCCTCTCCTCATTCTCCTCCTCCTCCTCCTCCTCCAAGATTTTGTTGATTTGAGAGCGACAACAAGCGGTGGGGAGGGGCAGAGGGAGAGAAGCAGGCTCCCCGCCCTGAGCAGGGAGCCCGATGCAGGGCTCAATCCCAGGACCCTGGGATCATGACCTGAGCCAAAGGCAGACGCTTAGCCGACAGAGCCACCCAGGCGCCCCTAGAGCACCTCTTTCTGATTCCCAGTTATTTTTAAAAGCTCTGTCAGCACCGGGGATACAAAGAAAAACCTGCCTTAGGAGGGGTTGCAGGGTAGTCAGACGGCACTTACTACCTGATGGTGTGATTCGTTCTCGAGAAGCAGGAACAGAGAAGAAACGCCTGTCCATGTCTCAGGGCTCAGGGGGAGCCTCCTGGAGGATCCCCTGGGCCTTCAGGACAAGGGGAACCTGGGTCTTCTGGGGCTGGAGGACAGGTGCTGCCCCCTGCTGGCCCAGCCTGGCCTTCCCACCCAGGCTAGAGGCGGCTTGTGGCTGCGGGTGCCCCCTGGTGAGCAGACTGCAGGGGAGGCTTTCCTATTGCTTCCGGACACCCGGATTTTGGGTCTGTTAGTTGCTGAAGTAACTGTTAGAAGAAGGTGCTGGAAGAGCTACAGATCCTCTGAGGGATGGATCAGCATGTTTGGGAAGTCCAGCCCTGGTCTGGCCCCCCAACCCTTCCTCTTCCATTTCTGCACTGTCCCCTTCCACCCTCCCTGAGAAAGGTGTTTACAAGCAGGGGTCCCTCCACCCTTTCCAAGAGAGGCCAAAGCTGTGTGTGTGTGTGTGTGTGTGTGTGTGTGTGTGTGTGTGTGTGTGTTGGAGGAGGAGGCTTTCCAGGCACACAAAAGGGTAGCAGATCCGTGGATGGGACTGAAGCATTTTTAAATGGTCAGAACTTCAGGGGTACAGTCAGCCTGAAAAAGGACCTCCCCACTATGAGACTGGGGGACTGGCCACCAGAACCCATGGGGGCCACCAAGAGCTGGAGCTGATGTCTGCTGAGGACTTACCTCTTAGAGGCCCATTCTGGGAAAGACTTTGGGGGCACCTCGCTGAGCTAGGGAAACAGGGAATTGTCAGTGGTAAGCCACATGGTCTGTACCTCATGGTGCCATGGAGGCCAATCAGGATCTGGGGTGAGATGGCCTGGCTCCAGGCCCTGCTCCCCCCCTCCACGCCCACCCCCAAGGGCTTTCATGTCACAGTCCCTCTCTGGAAATGTCCCTCCCCTCCTCTTTCTCATCTTCATCTTCCAATCTGTAGAACAAGAGCAAGGATCATGCCATCTGACAAGGTGCCAAAGCCCTCACTTCATCGGAAGACTGGACACCCGAGGTGACACCTCGAGTTGTAAGTTTTCTAGGCAGTTCAGAGAGAAGTCTGTTTCCCCCCAGCCTCCCTCCACACTCCACGTTGCTGGAGTGAGGACCTCCAGGCTTGCTGCTGGTGGCCTGGCCTACCTGGGCCCTAGTTGGGCCTTCCAGACTCCTCCTCTGGGGTCGACCTTGCAGGGGGAGGTGTGTGGCTGTGCCCTCAAGGCGAGGGACTCCTAAGGCCCTACTCACTGTCTCCAGAAGGTGGCCCACTCTGCCCTCCTTATCTGGAGGATGAGAAGGGGATTTGGGGGCACTCTCCCTCCCACTCAACAGAAAGGGAGGCCTGGTCCTAACCTCAGGTTAGCAGCTCACATCCTTAAAAGCAAACATTTGTAAGGGAATAGTAATGTGCAAATCCCTTTCCCAGGCTCCCCTATCCAGATCCAGTGTCTCCATCTATGGGAGAAGGGGACTTGACTGGAGCCACCCTTCCAGATGGGTCTCTGTTCACCTCAGACTTCCACATCCAACACCTGTGGGAAGCAGGCTCAGCCCTGGTGACAAACGACCAACCCACCTTCGTTCTTCTCACCCACATCCCCCTCAGGCTGGCCCCTCCCCGATTCCCTTGGGCACCACCTGGGTTCACACCCTCATCCTCCTGCCACATGACGGCCTCCCCACAATGCTACCCCCCAGCCCAGCCCTGTCCTCCAGCCCCCCCTTTCGCATCGCTGTTAGGGTTCCTGCGCTGGGGAAATCTTTCTCATCTCCGAATCCAACTGTCCTTGCAGAGCTTAGCATCCCCAGCAGCTCGCCCTACCCTTCAGGTGATTCCCAGCCTCAGTCTGGGCCTCTGAGGCCCTTGGCACATGTCCCGCCTCCCCGCCTCCCCTCCTTGCCTCTGCCCAGGGTTCCTGCCCCTGTGTACCTGGTGAATGCAGCCACTGCCCCCACACATCACCCCCAGACACTAAACTTTGTAGGTTCTCCTCGGGACCATGACAGTGTCATTCGCCCTTGGAGGCTCAGAGCATCACAGAGGGCTGGGCACGCAGTGTCTAAATGTGTAACAAATAACTGATGGAATAAATGTGTAGCAAACAACCGAGTTGAATGAAGCCAGAAATCAAGGAGCCAAGAGACAGCAGTAACATTGAGAGTAACCTTTACAGTGGCCCCTCTTCCTCGGCTTCTGTCTACAGCCTGTGGCTGGCACAAAGCATCAGATTCAGGAAATCAGTATTTCAAATCCCCTCGCTTAGGGATCGGGTCCCGTCTCGTCTCCCTTTGCAGCAGGCTCTGACGGGAGGAATAGGTCAGGATCGGGCTTTTCATAAGCTGTGGGGGACAAGCCAGCCTATTAATCCGGGCTTGTGATAACAACCCCCAGCACCAGATTGTGCTGGTGTCATTCGGGGCCAAGAGAAATGCTGGCTCCTGCCTTCCCTTACCAAGGGTCAGGAGCTGGTGACCAGCTCAAGAATGTGCTTTGTTTGGGGTTTACATTCCAGGAGCAGCTTGGGAGGCCAAGGGCTCAGGTTGCCAGTGGGAGCCAGACACGGGGTAGGGAGGTGGCACCGGGCAGACCTTCCCCCCTCCTCCCTCCCGGGCACACCTCCTATGCCCCGCCTTGCCTGGTCCTCTCCGGACCACCCTCACAAGTGCAGGGGGGGCGGCTGTGGACACAGGGCCAGGAGGAAGAACACACTCAGCCCCTTCAAGAGAGCGGCATTTAAGTGGAGTATGGAGTACTAAGCTCTGAGCCACCACCATAAATGCCCCGCTGCTGAGGAGCCTTTAACAGTGTACAAAGAGCTTCTGTGTTCAGGGTCTCTTTTGACCAATTACAAACTGAGATGTAGGGAAACTGAATCACCTGCCCCAGGTCATGTGGCCAACTGGGGAGAGAGCCAGGTGTAGAACCCCATCCTCTGACTGCCTTTCTGGGGCTCATGCACCCCTTGCCTCATGGACATCGACAGCCTCTGTACCCCAGGATCCAACCTAACCAAGGCCCTGACTTCACAGGGTTAGTGAAGGATCAATAAAATAGTGGATGTGAAAGAGTTGACCCTGTAAAAATGAGGACTTATTTTTATTTTTTTAAAAAGATTTTATTTAATTATTTGACAGAGAGTATAAGCAGGGGGAGCAGCAGAGGCAGAGGGAGAAGCAGGCTCCCCGCTGAGCAGGGAGCCCAATGTGGGGCTCGATCCCAGGACCCTGGGATCATGATCTGAGCCGAAGGCAGCCGCTTGACTGAGCCACCCAGGCGCCCCTTCTTTTT